ATGTCAAAGATATAATCAAATTGCATGATGTGTCAAAGGTGATTATATTTGATTGGAACGACCTATTTACCTTCAAGTTATGGAGAGACATTCTACATATATTGGGTACAAAATTATTTAACATTGCTTTTCACCCGCAGACGAACGGGCAGTCCAAGAGGACTATTCAAATACTGAATAATCTTTTAAGACTTGTGTTCTGAATTTTGGGTGTAGTTTGGAGGATCACAATTTGCTAATAGAATTTGTATATTACAACAGTTATCTATCCAACATAGGTATGACCCCTTATATATCTCTATACGATAAGAAGTCCATGAATCCTTTGTCTTTGGAAGACGTGGATGATAGACATGTGATATGATCAATTTTTGTGGACGTCACTACAATAAAGATCGGTCTGATAAAAAAAATTGAGTTTGCACACTATAGGCAGAGGAAATATTATAATCAGAAATATAGACCTGTTGAATTTTCTGTTGGCAATTTTGTTTATGACAAAGTCAGTTCTATGAAAGGTATTAGTAGATTTGAAAGAATAAATAAGCTGAGTCTAACCAATGTTTAAAATTGCGTATTCGGGTATTGAGGCGTTTTTCATTAGTGAGGCGAGGCGTAAGCTTCAAGGCGTTTTGAGGCGTTAGCCTCAAAATTAAAAGATTGCGTAAACATAAAATGATAAATGTTTTATATATTAATGAACGAATAATATAAAACATAAAAAAGCAGAAAATATGAATTGAAATCAAAATATCCCAATAATAAGACAACATGAAATATAGTTCAACTCAAAATTCTATCTTTCCCAATCCCAGTATTCTTTTCATTAACATATAATTCCAATTTCCAAAAACAAATAGCAATGACATATGACATAAGAACTCATAAGTCATCACACTGTCATCACTAAGGGGTTCTTTATTTGAATCATCATTATGATGGACTACTCTCTCCCCTTCCTCCTCTCATATAGAGTCCAATGTCGGGCATTTACTTCAAGATTTATATAAGTTTTAATATATATAGCGTGAGGCGTAAGCCTCATTCCAGTGAGGCAAGGCGGGCCTCAACCAAGTTGAGGCGCAAGCCTCATAAAAAAAACTCGAGGCGTAAGCATCGAGGTGTTTTTTACTGGAATTGCGCAAAGGCGGGCCTCAAGGCGAGCCTCATATTGCACAATTTTAAACCATGAGTCTAACATACAATGGACCTTTAAATATTATTAAGATGATTAAAAGTTCTGCTTACATGTTATTATTGTCTATCATATATTAGACATACACAGTATATTTGATGTAGCTTAGTTGAGGAAGTAGATATTTGATTTTGAGAGTAGATTATTTATTGATGATGTTAAGGTTTATCCAAATCTATACTATAAGGAAGAGCCTCAAAAGATTCTGGCATACAATATTAGGAAAGTAAGTAAATAAATTCTAATTATCAAGATGCAGTGGAAAAACAAGACCGTTAGAGAAGCTACTTGAGAGAAGGTATCTAAGATAAGACAGTTATATCCATGTTTATCTTGAGCTGTTTGATTTGGAAATATCGAGGATGACATTTTTCTAATAAGGGAAGAGTTGTGAGACTTCCAAGATTAGAATACTATTCAAACTGGTCTAACCTGATTACAAGGTAGGTAACAAGTTAAATTTCTGCTTTTTAACTGTTTTGCATGTGTTTGGAAATGATGTGAGCATAAAAAGCTCTGGATGTATTTTAGAGTGAATTCTATATGTCTAAATGCATGTTTGTGAAATATGAAAATTTTTCCTCGAGCACCCCTATGCTGTGTTTTTTGGTTCCCCAGCACTGTTTGTTCTTGAATTTGAAAAATGAACTAGTTCCCATACACTAGAACGGTGGCGCCTAAGCGATGGGCCAAATTCTGCACTTAAAAAATCTAAATCCATTGTTTTGTCATTTGATCTGTTTGATCAACCAGCACTAGGGTGAGAAGAAGCGAGATTTTTTTAGAGAGTCCACTTCTGGCAGCTTTGGATCGTTTTCCGTTATCGGCCCAATTCAAAAAGTTACTAAGCTCGAGGTACGTTATGTCAAACCCCAAAATCTAATTTGGTTGAATTATCTCTTTTTATCTTTTGAGTAATCAAACATATAATTTCTTTTAATAATGAAATAACAACGAAAATAACTTTTATTAATCAAAATATCAATATACATCAATAATCAATATCAAAAAATCAGGTACAATTCCCAGGAGCCATATAAATATAACAATCCATATTCTCATTATTGAGTACAAAAAAATAACTAAAATAAGCAAAATAGTAAAATCTGGGGAATCCTATAACTGATCAGTCTCACACTCCTGATCATCTTCTCTGACCTGAAAGTATTTAAACTACATATAATGAGCTAAAAAATTTAATATGACAATAAAATCCTACAATTAAACTCATAGCATAGTAAAAAAATAGTATACATTTAATCATTCAATTCATTATAGTGACAGTCAATATGATCATAAATCTATATAGAGATAGTCAAAGAAATACTAAACCATAAATTTTGTGAACTGATAAACTAATATGATATGAAGGCCAGTAAAACAGTACAATACATAAACACTAAGTATGTAAACCAGTAAACCCAATATGGATGTCATTTATACGACGTTATAATCCTATCTAATCAATAAAAAAATCATATAAATCGATAAAATTAAAGCATCTATGAATACTTTCATAATCCATAACAATGCAGTACTATCAAATAAGTATATACATAATGTTCGGACATTCTATATCAGCATCACATCAGTTTCTTATATCACACACTTAGTAATAGAAATCATGTGCTCAATAATAATAAAACGTTAAATAGTGAATCAAAATAGCAGTAACAGTGATAGCGAATTAATAATAATATCAATAACAGTAAAATCTATTGCAGTAATAGTAAAACAATATGATAATAATAAAGCATTATGATGAATGCATTCCTGTAATCACGCTAAACAAATAAGGGGTTTCGACTTAAGTGGTGTTTTTTAAGCAATCAGTAAATTAATAACCACTAGCTCAATAAACAAAGTTGTCACTATTTACTTGTCAGCACAAGAATCATCTACCTATAACTCTCAATCAGTAATCATGTCAACAGTAGAGGATGATACCAAACCACAGTATTTAAATGAAAGTTCGTCGACCACCATCTTATACAGGTTAGTCTTCAGCCAACGTCAGTAATTAGTCAGTCTTTACTTGTTTTCATGTACATTATTATATAAAATAATAACTAGCTATTGCTCAACCACGTACTTGTATTCATTCACATTACTTGTATTAATAATATGTTTGTATTAAAAAATCAAAATTATTATTCTATGCAAATCGTTATAAGCATAATAATTATCATTTTATCTGCTAAAATTGTAAAATCGATCATCAAAATATCAAGAATAATCAAAACTACAACACATAAAAAGTTATCCAGAAGAAGTTCAATAAATCAAGAGAAAATATAATTAAATCATTTTGGAAGAAATCCAAAAGTTAAAATCAAAATCTTTGAAACAAAAGATAGGAAATAAGTCACCTAGAACAAACTAAGCAATTTCGTAAAAGCAACGAAGTGAAACAACAATAAAAAAACTCAACTTTGTCTCTCCTCTCTCCTCCTCCTTCCTCTCTCTTCTTTCCTTCCATGGCAAACCACAACGTGAGGTGAGGGAGTGAGAAGTGAGTGGCAGAATTTTGATTTAATTATATATAAAAATGTGTTCTAGTGTGTGGCGTCGCAACACCTAAGGAAGCCAACGCTGTTATGCTGTATGGTGAATCTAGAATTAATGTACAAAAGAACCTTCAATGTTGCAACGCTAATTTTTTACGTTGCTGCACTCTAAAGCACAGTGCCATAACGCTCCATTTTAGACAGTAATTCAAATTCACATTTTAAATTTATTTTAATAATTATCATATTGTTACAAGTTTTATTTTGTCTATCTCAATTTTCAATAATTCGGATTTATTAGAATTTTGTTGATATAAATTATAACTTGGTTCGACAAAACAGGGGTTTTTCTCGAATTCTGATGAATTTCACCCACAAAACTTTTGCTATATTGTTGGTCAAATTAGTCTGGTCGTTTTGAATATTTATTCGACACTTTTTGCCTGACAATTTTGAAAACCAATGATTTTTATCAATTCAGAAATTTGCTTTGACATCTTAAAAAATGCTTTAATTCATTTAAAGCTTCAAAATGTTGTTATACACGATTTCTAATAATTTAGTTATTTTCCAAAAAAGTGAATTTCTACTCAATCGATTTTTCTGTTGTTTACTGCTAAGGCATTTTGCCAAGTTCTGAATTTACTTACTACAATGCATTGAAATATCGGTAAATTGATTGAAATATAGAATTCTGTTGGCGGTGAGAAGAGCTTATATTATCTATTATGTGCTAAAATTTCTGGAACCTAAGGGTTACATTTATTAAAAAAGAATTCTCTTATTGACGAGAAAGGACTTTGTTAGCTGCTAGAAGGAATTCAGTTAATTGTTATATATGGGAAATTAGGGCATGAGGGTAATTCTCATAAGTACTATGAAATGTTTGTTTATATTTCAACTAGTTTCAGTACAGTTCAGTATTTATTTAAATACTTATTAAAATTAAGTATTAATATTTATTCCAATTTTAGTTTTTTATACAGTACTTCAATTAACTATATCATCATTTTCATTTCTCTTGTTTTAAGCTGATGATTCCTATTTTAGGCTATTGAAGCCTACTGAACCGTGTTAGCTCACTCCTTTTGCTTTTTTTTTCAAGCCAGGGAAAAAGTAAGGAGTGAGCTAAATAGTTTTGAAATCAAACTCTGATCTATGTTGCATGTATGCTTTCCTGGTAGTAGTATTTTTGCATACTTGATTTTTATTATTATTGTACTTTTTATTTGTCAAACGTTCTTGTAGATAGAACTCAGATTGTCATCTAATAGTTTTGAGATGATATCCGATCTAACCTGGATAGATCCTTTAGTGGTTCTTTCTTTTGATAAATGGCTTTCCAAGTCATAGTATTCTCTAGCCTTCTCATCTAAAGCATGAACAATCACAGTACCTATTCAATCAAAAGGCTAAATGTTATAATCTGAAAAATAACATAGATGAATACAAAAAGTGGAAAGACATGTCCATGAGTGAATATTTAAATATCAAAAGAACATTAGATGACAAAGAGGGATGCAAATACCAAATAAATTAAAAGAAAAACTTCCAATTAAATAATAGAAATCTGCATTTTAGCAGCAAGTAGAACAGTAAAACGAAGGCGCAGGTCTGTGGATGTACTTCCTTAATAAGAAACTCACCAGAATCAATCACAACCCACTTCCCCCCTACATGGCCTTCCACAGCTGGAAGCATCATATGGTCAGCACCCTTTTGTTTCTGCTTTGCCTGTCGATCAATATAAAGACAAGAAGTATAAATATCAGTATGAAGAAACAAAAGGGAGATGTGAAGAAACAGGCAGAAAAAACAATAGAAAGAAAAAAATGCATATGAAAGCCAAGAATATATTTAATGCAAAAAAAGAAGAATTTTATAACAACGTAACGTAAAATATGATTCCTATCTAGGCAAATTATCAATTTCAGTGCAACTTCATTTCAATTCTTCCAATGAATGGTTAAAATTAGATCAAAACAATGTTGATACCTCCAGAGAGTTATATGCTAAAATTCTTTCAGGCTTAGTGATTCTAAGGACTTCAAATACAAAATCACGCCTGTGCACAGCACAGGCAAAAGTGCCCTTTGGGAAAGGCCTCATGTACATGAGGACAAAATACAAGTAAGTCAGTTAGAACACAGAAAACACGGAATAGGTTCAGCATGTACACACACAAGATAACTACTTCAAAAGTATATCAAACAGAAATTGAGATCAATAAGACTATGGACCACGAGTGCTCAGTCCAAAGATCATCTAAGCGCAACAAGAAGGTAGGGGACCCAACTAACGGTTACCGGGACCCATTTGGGAGATGCAAAGCCCCAAGAAGTTCCATTGGAAGAGAAGAAAATTGATGGCAAGATTAATCAAAAACTGAACCATCACATGGTTTATAGGTCGATTTCTCCTAATCATTACCCATCAGCATCAATAGTTACAAGTGGAGCAGGAAAATTAAGGGTTTACGATTTACTAATGCAACCTACATGAGATGGGCCATGAAAACACAAAAAGATCACAATTTGCTGGTTATAACCTATGAATTTAAGCAAAAAGAAATCACTTATAATATAAAAATAGCAGACAAACTTCACTCATAAAAAATAATAATTCAATAATCGCCAAAATAGCAAATTCCACAAGAAAACATACTGATCAAACATTAAATTCAAAAACAATCAAATTCGCCCTTCAAAAAAAATTCAGCATGTATAACACTTGACAAAATTTGGAAATTCCAATCATGGACACAAAATAGAAATACAACAACATTAATAACATCAAGCCTTTATCTCATTATGTAGGGTCGGCTACATAAATACTTTTTCTCCATTGTGTCCTGTTAAGAGTCAAATTCTCATTTAAAACTAATAAAAAAAGGTCATTTCTAATATTTTCTAACCAAGCCTTTTTATGTCTGCTTCTACCTTTCTTAACATAGGCCAAATCTAATACATCTACTCTCCTAATAGATTCATCAGAAGGCTGTCGTTTTACATGACCAAACCATCTAAGATGACTCTCTATAATCTTATCTGTCACTGGAGCTATTCCAACCTTTCACGGATATGCTAGTTTAGTATCTTGTCTCTAAGAGTAAATCCACACATCCACGTGAGCATCCTCATCTTAGCAACACTTAACTTAATATCAAGCTTCTCTTTTAATGGCCAACATTTTGCGCCATAAAGCATTGTAGGTCTCACCACCTTCATATAAAATTTTCCCATAAGTTTGAGTGATATTTTTCTATCACACAACAAACCTGAAGCATTCCTCAACTTCAACCATCCAACTTGAATTCAACTAATAATATCTCCATCTTTTTCACCATCACTTTGAACAATAGACTCAATATATCTAAAAGGAATACACTTATTAATGACTTGATCGCTCAAAGTTACAAACCACCAACAATATCTATTACTACAATAATTACACTCCATGTATTCGATTTTAGATCTACTCTATGAAAACCTTTAGACTCTAATGTTGACCTCCATAATTCGAGTTTACCTTCAACTCCCTCTCTAGTCTTATCAACAAGAAAAATATCATAAGCAAAACTCATGCACTAAGGTACATCCTCTTGCAAATATCTAGTAAAAACATCCATGATTAAAGAAAAAAGACAAGGGCTTAAGGCTGATCCTTGGAACTTTATCTTAAAGCTCTAAAGCTCAAAGCTCACTAAATTGTATATGACTCAAAAGTCTTATTTATAACCTACACAGAATCCTAAATTAGAAATTTCTCATTATACTCAAAAATAAAAAATAAAAAAGTTTCGATTCACATTCATAAGTTCCAATAGAAAAAAATCCGTCCATAAATCCAATTTCTGAATGCTAAGTGTCTAACAAATTAGGAAAGAAACGCCGCCAAAATCACAAACAATGGTTAAAGATCCTTTAGGATTTTCTTCATAAGAGATCACCTTAATTCCATTTCAAGGTTTTGCAAATAATCAACTATGCATTAAAAGTATAATAAAACACTTCCGAGACTTTTCTGATGCATAGATAAATATAGCATTAAAGCTCATAGATAATTTAGAATTTGAATGTACTGACAGTTAGTTTATACATGACTAGATATGAAAACTATTAAACAATAATATTGTCGAACTATTGTCATATTTGATAATTAATGCAAATAAGATTTGTCTAATTTTGATGCAGTTGTTACACTTGTTATGAAAATATTGCATTATCAATCATGACACATTCAATTATTATTATTATATATATATATATATATCTATATCTCATCACTTATAAGAATGAAGATACTAAAACTGAAATTGATTATTTTCTGATAAGAAAAATAAATCATCTAGTTTGCAAAGATTGTTAAATTATTTTTAGAAAAAGTTTATGCACTCAATATCGCTTATTTTTTAAAACTTTATAATGACGGGGTGAAATATGAAAAATAAAGTAAAATATTGCCCTATTATTAGATGGGAATACCTAAAAATGTTAATGAAAATATTTTTGAGAGAAAAATTTAAGATATCAAGATCTGAGTTGTTTATGAGAAAAATAATATTATGTGAAAAACAATAGCTAGTGATATTAAAAAAAACTAGCTATATTAAAAATGTTACAAAGTATATATCTGGCAAATCAAAAGAAAAATCTTCTAATAATAAATATAGTTAATAGTGAAATCAAAATATGCAAGAAAATAATAAAAATAAGAATTTTTTTTATAAAATTAGTTTAGATGTAAAAGCTTTAAAAATTGAGAAAGATTAAAGAGGCATGTAGGGAGTCAATATGTAATGTAAAGAATTTAGATTTCAGTAATTTATATAATAGATTAGTTATTAAGGAGAAAAAAAATGTATAAGTTAGCCAAGCTAAGAGATAAGAGAAGTAAAGATCTAATTCAAATAAAGTATATTAAGGATAAAGATTCAAAAATATTTTTCTTACAAGAGAATATCCAACCTAAGTGAACGTGATATTTCAATAAATTGTAAATAAAAAATGTGAGAATACGATTAACTTTAGTGAGCTTATCATCCTAAATGAAAATAGAGATCTTTGTTTTTATCATGTATGAGTTAAATCGAAGTTGGAGAGGCTTTAAAGAAAATGAAGTGTGGACAAGCTATGGGACCTGATGATATTCCAATAGAGATGTGAAAATTCTTAGAAGAACAAAGAACTTCTTAGCTTACTAAACTTTTAAATATTATTTTGAAGGCTAAAAATATGTCAAATTAGTGGACGTGTATATTGATTCCTATTTTTAAAAATAAATGTGATACATAAGATTGTGCAAAATATAAAGAAATTAAGTTAATGTATCATATATTAAAATTATGGGCGAGTGATTGAGCATAGGTTATGACGTGATACTAATGTTTCTCAAAATCAATTTCAAGAATAGGTCTACTACGAAAACAATTTATGTTTTTAGAAATTTGATGAAGTATAGAGACTAAAAAGATATATATATATATATATATATATATAAAGCTTATGATGAGTTTCAAGAAAAGTGCTCGAGAGAATTCTAGAAAAGAAAAAAAGTTAATAATGCTTGTATTCAAGTCATTAAAGATATGTGGATGGGGTTACATACTCATTCATTAAAGCTTATTGGAAGATAATTGGTGAGGACGTTTGGAAAGCAATTGAGTTCTTTTTCTCATCGGGTAAGATGTGCTCCAAATGGAAGGAGACGTTGGTGGTCCTAATTCCTAAAATCAGTAGTCCTCTTACCCCTTTTAATTTCAGATTGATTAGTCTGTGCCTTTTTATCTATAAGATTATTGCCAAAATGCTTTTAAACAGGTTATCCAAAGTGATTCATTATTTGATTGATGATGTTCAAGTAGCTTTTATCAGGGGGAGATCTTTGTACAGTCATGTTCTCCTTGCTCAAGAAGTTTTTCACAAATTCAGAATTTCAAAAGCTAAAAAAGGATTGGTGGCCATCAAGGTGGACATGGAAAAGCTTATGATAGCTTGTCTTGGGATTCTCTTAATCAAGTCTTGGATTACTTTAGGTTTCCAAGGAAGTTCTCTAATCTTGTGATGGATTGTGTGATTGATCCTTTGTTCTTGATTCAAATTAATGGAGTTGGTTCAAGTTGGATTGAAGCAAAAAGCGGATTCAGACAGGGGTGTCCTCTGTCTCCCTATTTGTTCATTTTATGTTCCCAACTTCTGACGAATGGGTTTTTGGCTAAAGGCAACATAGGTGTAAAAGTGACTCCTTCAACTCCGAGAATTTCTCATCTTCTATTTGCAGATGATATCCTCATGTTCTCTGAAGAAAGAATGGGACAATTGAGGGAATTCTTTTTTTTTTTTTTTTGAGAAAATGCATATAGCATTAAAATTAAAAATGGGAATTATTACAAGCAAAGAAAACTACTAGACACTCCCTTTAAAACAAAGTAAAAGGAAGTCTTATTAGCAAGCAATTTAAGCATAATTGAACTATTAGAAAAAAAGGAAATTTCATAATGAAAATAAGTCCCTCTACTTATAATTTGAAACCCATCAGGGTGGAGGGGATACCAAAGATTAAACAATTAGTATCCCAGAATTCCCAATTGACTAAAAAAATAATAGATAGAGTAGATCTTAATTTTCATTATTCTAAATCCTTTTTTCAAATACCACCTTATGCTTAAAGTAAATAAAGAAAAAGCAAGATTGCTATACAAAATAAAAGTAATGAAACTAAGGAAATAGAAAATC